ACAGGTGCCTTACTAGTAGTTACAAGAAGCTACTAGGAACAAGTGCCTTACTACTAGTAACAAGAAGCTACTAGGAACAAGTGCATCGCTAGTAGTAACAAGAAGCTACTAGGAACAAGTGCCAGTCAAGACGCAGATCGCACGAGCGGCCCTTCCTTCATGATCTCTGACGCGTGGCCGTAACGATGCGTTCGTTGGGCACGGCGACTGCAGTGATCGGAATGGTGGACGATCCAACACGAACTAAGAACGACCGTACTAGAACGATGGCAGATCCACGTTACCTCAAACACATGGGGAAAAACAATATAGTATAAGTGTTTGATCTATATTCCTGAACCTCAATCTGATCTATCACAATGGCACAACAATCTCATTTGCGGAGTCTCATCACCACAACCCTCTGAACTTTGACAATGGTTTCAGGGCGTCGGTGTCCAGAAGCTGTCCGCTCGAGCGGTTTTCCACCCCCTTCCGGACGACTTTCCTCTAGCAGCTAGCATTTGTTCTCCATGTTTGCCATCGTTTGGATCAAACATGATCAGACCACCCTATGACCAGAGGAGTGACACCTGGAGGACAGCAGATGAAGCCCATGTCGCCCAAGTGGAAGATGTGATGCCCAGCCATTATCGCAAGAGCAACACAACCAGAGCGTATTTCGCATCGGTTGGGGAAGAAGCACAACCATATCCGGGAACCCGGTGGGAACCTGGCAGGGCTTTTCCAGCTTCATGTCGTGAGACAGACACGGCAGGTCTTGGACAAGCTGGAGGATCAGAAGCCGGTCGAGAACCCCCTCTTCGGGCACTTTGGCAGAAGACACAGGAAATGCGGAGAAGAGGTGTTGGACGTTTTTGGTGTGGGAGAAAAAAAAAACAACGTTCCCTACCTACTCAGTGGATAACTGTTAACCCTTTTTGGGAATTGGTTTCCTCACTGAACAGGAAGTGGAAACAGGTGAACCTTTAATTGTCCAGCGAAGCTGAGGGAGTCATGACTTGAAGGCGGGACTGGGACTCTTTGCTGGACTGGAGTTGAGAGTTCAAACTATCTATGCCCAGTTGGATGAGAGGACAACCAGCACGAGACTTGAGGCACTTGGAAGAATTTATGGAGATTCTACCAACGGAAAGGGACAAAACGGGCTCCTTTGCTCCCTCAAAACCAGCGTACGTAGCAGCAGGTGCGATGTGAGGACCCTAAGGTGAAGTCAGGTTTTGGCAGGTGGGCGACGCTTTCAGGTTCGACAGGAGACGTACATGACTCTATCGGTGCAAACGAGACGTCTCTGAGGAATCAGATGTTGGAAGATATGCTGCAGCAGATGAAGCTTGGCCAAGTCGGAGCTGCAGAGTAGATATGAGGTAGGCGAAGGAACAGAGATGTTGGTCAGCTTTTATTCTCACCTAGCACTCCCAAGAAGGTAAAGTCCGGGCTGTAGAGGCCATGCCCAGGGCCGCTACAGTTCACCATGTTTGTCATGTTCTTTTCAACTGCTAATTTTGGTTCCACTTGGGTAAACAGATTGGGTTTTCCTGCAGAAAGGTGTGGCTGCACCAACAAATAAGGGCAGGCTGTCAGAACCAAAGCTTCCTGCCTCTCCAGCTGTCGGGTGGGCGGACAAAAATGAGAGATGAAACACATGAGTTTCAGTCTTGTTCGAAAAAGTCGACACTCCTTGGCAAGAAGGTGAAAGTATTCTTCTCGTTTTGTCTAGATCGCTCCATCGTTTTCACGAGTTCTCAGGAAGGACGACGAGCTCAAGTCCCGCTGCAACCGCGAGCCCAGCTTCGATGCTGGGCACCGGCTAGCGCAGCTGCGTAGCTGGTGCCTCGGCTGTTCCGAAGAAAACACCGAAGAGAAGACAAGGCTGGTGATGCACCGAACTTGAAGTGGCATCCGAAGTCTCTGCACCTGGGTGGTTCGTTTAAGAAAATACGAACCACCCAGGTCGGGTGGACTGTGACCCACAGACGACACCGTTTTCTCGGACAGGATGTTGGGATGAGAATCCACCAAGCCTTTTCATAGCTGCTATGAGAAGCACCATGATATGGTGCTTTGATGGGTTTATTTTAAATGGTGCCAGTCTCACCCTGTGACGCAACCGACATGAAAGCATGGGAACTGTTTGGCTTTCGATCATTACCACAAAGTGTATACCAATCGATTAGCCACTGTGCACAAAGCTAAAGTAGCCACGTGTGTCTTAAAAGATGGCAAGAGCTTCCATCCAGGTCACATATCAATTTATATATTGTACCTCAAACGACTAAATCGAGCTGGTGGGCTGACTTCCAGTACCCCAGACCAAAACAAGCCGACCCGTTTGATTCTGCGATCCAATCCCATTTCCTCTACGTCTTGCTTGCTCCGTTTTCCTCAAAAACAGGGCTCCCTCTCCTAAACCTCCCCCCCCGCACACGTCGCGTCCCGTCGCGTCCCGCGTCCCGTCGCTGAGGCTCCAATCCAGTCGATTCGAGGTCTTGGTGACCTCCCTGCTTTGCGTCCCTCGGACCGGGCGGAGGTGGAGGCAGTGGCGGTCGGTCCGGACACGAAAGGCCCACCAAAAGGGTGCAGGAGGTTCCAAAAGGATCTGAGTGTGTGAATGTGTGTGTGCGAATGATCAGTAGCTAGCTTTGTCATGTTTGTGCCCTTTGTAAAGTACTTTGGCCAAGCTGGAGAATAGCACCCCACACTGGCAAGACGATGGAAGGGCTTTGGTTTCTCTAGTCACTGGTCTCGCAGACAAATAGAAATGGTTGGCGCAGGATGGACTCTTCGTTACAAGACTGGTCAATGACAGACCCATCTTGGCTGGATGTGGTAAAAGCAGTAAAGCCCTGCCATAGAACGGATAGAATGAGGTTTCCAGGGCTAAGTCTGAGGATGCTGCGGATAGATGATTCTTGGAAAATTGCTAGCTCTAGCTAAACCACCATGGTAAGCTGAGCTAACCCAAACCCCTGCTATAGACTGCACTCTCTTGGACATCTTCTCTCCCCTCAAACGGCTCAGCTGAACTATGCCGCTTCCCTAAACTTTCAAAAGGCCTTTGACAGCATCGATTGGTCTGGTGTACCCTACCTTTTGGACAAAGCCGGGGTTCCCGGCATTATTCGTGCTCTGCAAGCCAGTTGGTCGCAACAAGTGCGAGGGTGCACCTTTGCGGGCTATGTGGCTGAACAACCCATCCGTGACTCACCGGCATTGTTGCAGGGAGGCCCTTGGAGTCCCTATTGCTTGGCTTTGTTGCTGGCGCCGGTGATTCGATGTATTCATGCTACCCATCCTCAGATGTTGCAGGTTACCTACATGGATGACCGCAGTGCTTTGTGCTCCTCCATTCAAGACTTGCATTTTTGGTTGGCTACGTGGCGTCGCTTTGAAGCTCTCGGACGGCTGAGAACGCAGCCGACAAAGAGTCAGTTCTGGGGTCGGACCCCGCAGCATGACGAGGACCTGGCGGCTCAGGGTCTTCAACCTCAGCAGACCATCACCATTTGGGGGTTGCGGCCCGTCTCCTGTTGATGCTGAATGCTGGCAGGTGGCTCACCAACGTGCGCAGCGAATTGGGCAGCTTCCGGTCAGCATGACCTTGAAGAGGCGTTTAACGTCCACGGTGATGGCTACAAAAGCAGATCGTCCCCCAGGAGCTGGTGGACCAATGCATCCCAAAGGAATCCTACATGGGACAGCTTGAGCTCTTAGCTGCCCCTGCCGCCTTGAGTACTTGGGAGGACATGCTGCAGGGTCGGCAGGTGATTCATTTCGTCGACAACGATTCCGCAGCCGCCAATTTGGTCCGAGGATATTCCCCAAAGCAAGATTCCTATCAACTTGTTGGTGAATACTGGACCTTAGCTGCGAGAGCTGGCACAGATCTCTACATCGATCGAGTGGAGTCCAAGTCTAACCTGGCCGATGGTCCAAACAGACTTGAGTTCTCCCTCATGCGCTGCATGGGAGCCAACAAATGCACGCCTCGTGTTCGATTTATTTTTTCTTGGGGCCCGTTCTCGCAGCCTCGCTGGCTAGGCCACAACCAGACATAGGGACACCGAGGTAGGCCTACCAGGAGAGCATTGGGATTTCCCTATTCCTCGGTCTCCTTGCGGTTGAGTGCTCAGTGAAGTAAAAACGGTGCGGCCACGTCGCTCACGGCCAAGATCCGTTCTCACTGAGTGCAAGGGGAGCGTGGTCCCAACGGAGAACAAGCAAGCGGCAGCTTGATTCCTTTTTTGGAGCGTCGAAGGTAAGAATATCCAAAAAAATGCGGAGGTGCAATCAAAAGCATAAAATCGACAAAACATCTCAGGGAGGCAAACAAAGGAAATAGAACAACCAGCCCCGCAGGAACTCAGAGCACCAGTCACGTGAGAGAGAAGATTCGGCGGGTCAGTTTTAGTAGAAGAATTCTTCGCGCAACTTAGCATTCAAAACGATGCAATTTTTTGTTCACTTCCATTTGGTGCACAGCTCGCAGCAGCTCCATAGCTGGGTAACCTATGATCCACCTGGCTTTTGGCACAACTTCTCAGGTGCATGTCTTGTGGATGGCCCTGGAATTGCAGTTCTACGGTTCGCTCACCGGGTATCGCTTAGGCGCACGCGTGGAGCGTCGGTGGTAGGGGGTCGAATCCTCCGGGGAAGAGAGTGGGTGGTCCCAGGTGGGATTTCGCTCAATTTGCTCATCCATGCTGTGTTGAAAAAACAAGAGCACCAGTAAGCCAAGGTAAGTGTGGTCTCTTTAAAGTGTTCAGGTGGCACGTTGCTTTGGAGGCTTTCCTACCCAGGAAATGTGCCTCACCGGCAAATTGCGGTCTTTCTGCTTTCATGAGGGCCTGAAACACTTTGTGGGTAAATAGCCAAAGATTCTGTTTCCCTGCATTCTAGTTTTTAGTTTTTGAATCAAATGAATCTTTGAACTTCCCATCTCCCTGTTTTGTTCTCTAGCTAGGTAACAAGTAAGTAACCCTTCTTTTCAGTTCCTAGCTCCTTTGATGACCCCCTTTCCGCAAAACCTCCACAATGTGCTCCGGTCAAGCACCGGGTGAGGACCGGACCTCTCCGGTGCCTCTCCGGCCTCCTCCTCCCGTCGGTGCCGACGATCCTCGCAGGGATCTTCCCAAGCTCCATCGTCTCGGAGGAGTCCTGGCCGGTCTGGGAGCAAATCTTTTGGATCGGCACCTTGGTCGACGAAAGGGAAGACGACGACGACGAGACGAGACGAGACGAGACGAGACCGTGAGACGAGACGGGCAGAGCGCCCGGCTTTGTTGTCCCCAATAACCGAGGACGGATGAGAGCGGTGTGATGGTGTGATCATGGTATGATAATGCATGGGAATTGGTGAGGTCAGAGGGTGTTGTGTGGTGTTGGTTGATGTTGCTCCAGATGGCCTTTTTGGGGCGAGCGTGCTGGAGCTGCGTTCGGCGGTTGGGGTGTTTGGGGATCCCGAGTCCGATGGGAACAACGCGCCGGACTCAGCTGTGATCAGCTGCCTTAAAATGCATGTTGCAGCATTGAGGCAATGGTTTTGTATTGGATTGCTCTTTCTTTTTGGGGGGGCAATTGTTGATAGTTATCAAGATTCTCACAGAGACGCCTTGAGAAGAGATTCGTCGCCAAGATGGTCCTTCACACCTTTTGCACCACATGTTTTGTTTGCTGCCGTGTCCCACTGCCGCCACCTCAACGGGCCCGTCCGGTCTCTGGAGCTTCTCAAGGCGACATGGCTTTCACCACCATCTTTACTGTGGACGTGTTCTTTCGCATCATTGTTCTCCAAGGAAAATTTTGGAGGCACAGCATTTTCGACCCAGATGTTGACAGGGTGATTGACCAAGCACATCTAGTGATGTGGTTGACCGATCTGTTCTAGGGTGACCTGCTTTTGAATGGCAGGTTGCAAGTGGCTCTCGTGCTAGCTGCTAGATACAAAGATGTGAACAAAGGTTAGCACTGGGAGAAAGGAGGTTGCGGGTGAGATAAGCAGCTGAGAAACCGAGTGTGACTCCATGGGTCTACCTTGATGCCACTGACAAATCATTGCAAAAATAGTGTAGGACATGATGAACATCGTATGGAACCATGACTAAGCGATCGTTATTGGCATGTTAATGACTGTATGGAAGAAGGCCTGATCATAGAAGTCGAGCCCATTGCAATCGAGCGCCATTCCGCGAGCGCGAGCTTTTCCAGGGTGTGCATGAACTATGTGGACGTCCTAGTGACCTTGACTTCATTGATCGAAGTGGCCTTCGTGGCATTGGTCTTACCTATGAACCCTGGCTGTGACGGGACAGGGGGCGATCACAGATTTGTGGCTTGGTTGGTTGGTTCTGAGGTAAATAGCTACAAGTCAGACTTGCTTCTCAAGTTTCACAGCAAATCGAAGATGAAAATGCTTCTAGCGCCGCATGCTTCCTTCTTCCTGTCAAGTCACTCATCGCCTGCTTTTTGTCCCGTCGGAATCGATCCATGAAGCATTCCAAGGAATCCTACTTTGTTTCGGTTGTTGCGGATTGGCACCTCGGAAGCGGAGTTGGCGATGTCGTCGCCGGCAAATGTGTTTCGGACCCAGGAAACGGACGTGGACTGATAGCATGTTGTGGAAATGTCCTGGGCATGTTTCCTCCGATGCGGCCATGTGTTTGGCCCAAAAAACCCGGGGTTTGCATGTATTGTCGACGTATTTCTGTATAAAAATGTTGTTCTCGTCGTGTGCATCGAGTAATTTACTGTAATTTGGGGAAGTCTAGGGCCCTTGGCTTCACGGACGACGACAGTCTTTTGGAGGTCACATTTGACATGCGAAGAGCTGGGGAGCAAAACGGACGACATGTTTCCCTTATAAACAACGGGCGTTTTCATATCTGTTCAGGTGTCCTGTTTCGTTTGTGCCGAAATTCTTTCATGAATCCTTTGTAAATCCACCACGGGTGCCATCCGGAGGATTGGAGGAAAGCTTCCTGTGCTGATGTCCGTTTCCAGAAGACCCTGTCCAGCATGTTTGGTCAAGCAAAAGGGGTCCAGGTCAAGCAGGAGATTCACTGCAGCAAGTTCATGACTTTGCAGCAAGGCCTCCAAGCCATTCAGCGCCGTTCATGTCCTCCTGGACCTTCCTCGGGGAAACTCCCTCGACTGGTCGCCTGCTTGGTGTCACCTGTCACCCCCGACCAGTCGCACCAAAAGCTGGATGGGAATCACGCAGGAACAGACGGCATTGCACTGTGCCAAACCGATGCTGCTGATGAGCTGCTACTACTACTACTACTACTAGATTGGCGCCTAAGTTCTTGCAGATGTGATCATGCACCAAAATATTCATGACCAAGAGACGTTCTCTGTCTACGCAGACTCACCAGGTTCCATTGGTCAGCTAGACGCTCCGCAGATCGCTCCCGTTCTTAGGCAAGTTGGCGCGTGCCCTTCGGATGGTCACTATGACCAGCGTTTTATCATCACTTCAGCTGTTGATCAAGTGCCTCTCCGCCTCCCTTGACATGTTGCAACTCAGAAGCACCCGGGGCAGGTCGAGGCTGCTTTCGAACAATGGCACAAGTACAGTAGATGAACCTGGAAAAGTACAGAACTGATGGTTCTGTGCTGTGAACTTGCAGTACTGCTGAACATGCCTGCTTTATTTACCCTTCCTACGTTTGTTGTGTGCCATCCTGTTTAGACTCCTTCAAGCCAAAATCCAGCTAATGGAACGGCAGAGATATCAGTATGCCTGAAAGGACTCAGATGGAATGTAATGGCTCTTGGAGCATTTGCTTGCTGTGTTTCGATGGTCGGTTTGAGGGGAAGGAGCTTGTTTGAGGCATCAAATGGGCGGGGTTCCACATGTCTTGGAGATCAGACACTCACACCACTATCCTTTTGGCCCCAACGCATGTACATCAACACGCCTGTAACGACGTTGCAAGATGATCGTACCCGATGGTTGAGAGGATGTCGGGCAAGTGGAGTGATTTGGCGTCGTAAAAATGGGTCACCCCAAGCCACAACGGATCCCTCAAGCCAGGTCAAGCGAGCCACCCATGATCAGTATAGGGACCCACTCTGCTGAAGGGTTTGCGAAGGACCATCTAATCCAAAATCACGCCCCCCCTATGTGAGGCCAAATCCTGAAACTGTTGCTCTCATACTTCACCTCCTGCCCGCGGTTCGGGATTCAGCTGCGCGCCCAGCGCCAGGTTTTGGACGTTTTGTTTGCTGACCTTCCTGCAATGCGTTGCTGGCATGGTGGTGAGCACCCTTTGCCGCGAGTACGTGAATGACCTGAACCAGGATCTCAGCAAGCGCGAAGAAGTCTATAGGCGCCGTTTATCCACATGAGAAAAGACTTGAAGAGACAAAGTGAGACGAAGTGAGTCCAAAGTCCTTCAGATCCAAATCAAAGAAACAAGTTACGTAAAGAAGAGGAAGTAGTAACAAGTGCATCGCTTCTAGTAACAAGTGCCTTACTAGTAGTAACAAGAAGCTAGTAGTACAGTTCTTCTTCTTCGTCCATTGCGTCATCGTTCAGCTTACGCAGTCCACCCGAAACCTCGGTCCCGGGAGTTCGGAAACGGAGCGTTCTTCGGAGATGGGATCGATGGGGGACCGATGCATTCGCTAAAAAGAAAGGTCGAAAAGGCCGGAAGAAATCCCCTCATCAGTCAGCTAGCTGTGTGCTTTTCTTTGGGGGTTCTTTTGGTATCCACGTGGGTGTCTCTTGTGATTCCTCTTTGGAATCCAAACATCACCAAGTGAACATCAAGCAACCAATTTCAACCTCACCAGTGAGCCATGCCCGCTGACCACGCCCGGCGCAGGTACTACGGGACCTTCTCCCGGACTTTCCTGACCATGTTCGAAGCTGAACCGAGAAGAGTTGGGTTCGCACCGGGCGAAGGGCACGGCCCTGTCGTCCACCCCAGTTGTGAAGTCATCCAGCCTAAGCCGGAAAAAAAAAAAAAATGGTTTTTCAAAGGAACGACACAATGCGTTCAACAATCTTGGATGTTCAACCATGGTTCTTTACCTGACACGATGAATCCGAATGACGCGTTTCGGGTGGGTTGAAGCCACCAAGCGGCAAAACAAGTGTAGTCCTGCCAAGGTCTGGTCGATCAGATCACTTCCAAGCCGAGTCGACTCGGAAGTGTTCTGGTGAAAGCTGACAAGGCAAGAAAGTCTCCCTCCAGCAGATGTTTGTTGAAAGAAAATGATGCGTAAGGGGGGATCCTATCCCATCCCACTTCATTTTAGTTTGAATGTATGCATGTCGAACAGATAGACCGCACCAGCACTTGAAGTGTGAAGGCACTTATCATCCATTTGGGCATTGCAGACTAAAAATCCTCAGAGATTGGCAGGTTATGTGTGATTGTTCAACGTTCACATATTGATTTGCTAATCTCTCAGTTGCGCACTGTCCTGGGAGTGGTGATTGTTTCATTTGGGTTGGAACCTTCACTCAGGTAGTATGTATACATATATATATATATTTATTTTTAATGTATTTATTTGTTTATTCCATTCTGGCCGGGGTTTTCTCTCAACCTTGACCCCAACGGCCCTCAAGGGCGGAGCGCAGAGGCCATTCTGCCGTAAATTTCCCAAGGAGATACTTTTTGCGAACTGGAGCCCTCCCTGTCGTGCACTCGTGGACCACGTCAGCGAGTGGTTCTCGCTCTTCTTTTTGGTGTACCGCTGCATCATCGGCTTCGCCGTGCGCCTTGGAGGCAGCGAAGCCAAGGTTCATGGACACAGCCCTTATGCATGCTGTTTGAGTGCCCTAGCGGTGCCCTAGCGAAGGAACTGGTCCGTACTGGTCCCCTACCTACAGGCATCTGGCAGGAAAGTCCAAAAGCACTGTTCGAAGCAAAGGACATTTTCGTGGAACATGTTCGTTGTGATGTGTGAAAGATGGGACGTGGGGAGAGACGAGTGTCAAAACTAGCAAACCCTTTAAGTGAGGAATACTGGAAGACCTATCCAGAGAATGCTAATTGTGGGTGACTGCCAAAACAGTGTCCTTTTCAGGGAGTTGAGAGTGTCCGCTTTGAACCTGCCAGCCCGGTCTTTGCATTTTGAAACAATCGATGCATCTCCTGGCATATGGTATTTCCCTTGTTCGTGATCATTTGGCAACCCAAGCTTTGAGGCTCAACGTGGTGAATGCAGTTTTCGTGCCTTGGCTCATACGATGGACAAGTTCTCTTTGAATGTAGGGCTTTTTGGCAGGAGAAGGTCTCCTACAGGTGAAGGTGCTTGCAGTTGATCCACTCTCCGGTAGCTGAGGCGTTGATCTCAAGGATGTGTTTCAGAAAGATCGCCCTGCCAGTTTCACAGCGTAGCTAGAAGACTAGAGTTGCCCAATTCTCATCCAACTTGACAGGAGTTTGGGGTTGCGAACCCTCAATGAATCTACAAGCCTAGTAACAAGGTCATCGCTACTAGTAGCTCCTGGCACTACAAGGAACCAGAAGCTACTCGTAATTCCGTGGCATTTCTACTAGTAGCTAGAAGCTACTAGGGGCTCCTGGCCTTACTACTAGAAGCAAGGACACTACTAGTAGCTACGGGCATTTCTACGTTCGTAGCTTCGTTCGCTACGTTCCTAGCGAATCTGGCCCTCAGCACTGAACCCTTTCGACACGAAGGACGGACCGGGAACCGGGCGCACCAGGTCCAACAGACGATGAAGACAGCCAGCTCAGATGAAGAATTGGCCTTCAAGCAGAAGGAGAGAGATATCAGTATGCTTCTTGGACGCGTAGTAACAAGTGCATCGCTACTAGGAACAAGTGCCTTACTAGTAGAAACAAGAAGCTAGTAGAAGCTATTATTTTTTATTTAGTATTTAATTAGAATTTAATTAAATTAGTATCTAATTAGAATCAAATTAAAAATACTAGTACAGAAGGCTACTAGGACCTTTTCGCGCGCGCGCGCGCGCGGGGGGGAGTAGGAGCAAAGGACGCTACTAGGAACAAGTGCATCGCTACTAGAAACAAGAAGCTAGTAGAAACAAGTGCATCGCTTCTAGTAACAGTCAACTAGGCTTGGCTCCAAGAATGAGATCTAGTGGCCTGCAGGCGTTTGCTTTTTCGCAGTGTTTCTCGTTCGTATGGCTTTGTGGGATTGGTGGGCAAAGCTTGTCACAGAAAGTATTGCAGTCTAGATGCGAAGCTCCACCAAACTTGAAGGAAATTGGGTCAGTGTCGCGGTCGTGCCAACCTCAGATTGATGCGTTTGGCTCGTCCTCTTCGGGAAGCTCCATTCCACATCAGTTTTCAACAGAGAATCTGCAGGCTCAAAAAGGCACATAAAGGAAAGAAAGAAAACAAAAGAGGAAGATAACAAGTGCCACGCTACTAGGAACAAGTGCCTTACTAGTAGTAACAAGGACGCTATTAGAAACAAGTGCCACGCTGCTAGTCAATTGCAATAGGTAGTACTTGAAAGGGACCGTGTCATCGGAATTGAGGTGGATGAGGTGAAGAGCGGACCAATCCTAAGAAAAAATTGTGAACATCCTAAAAGTGGGTTTTAAATGTGTTTATGATCTACAATGTGCTAGTTATCAATCATGGCTCTCTTTCGTCTTTAGGTGAGGCTTAGCCTCCAACTCCGGTGTCAAAAAGCGGTTCGCTCTCACCCGGAGGGGGGTTCTGGGCCCCCCCACCACCGGGTGAAGCCGAAGCCGCTGTGTGTTGGTCGAGGTACACCCGAAAGGTCCGGAAGCTCTTCCAGACGATGGACGACAGCTGTGATGGAGCAATCAGTCTGGAGGAGTTCTCGAAGTTGGCGACCTGTTCTTCCAACGAAGTTCGCCAAGGGTTTCTTTTTGGGGGGGGGGGGGGGGGGGGAGGAGGGAGGAGTGAGAAGAGGAGGGGAATTGGCCGTAGTGCTTGTGGAAGCAACCTCTGAGCCTTGATGATTTGGTTCCTAGATTTTTCGGGAAACTTAACTAGTAGCTTCAAAGACATACTAGTAAGCTTCTTGTTACTAGTAGCGATGGCCTCCAACCTCAATGATTTGGTTCCAAGATGTTTTGGGGGGAACTTGATGTTCTTATCGTTCTTGTCCGTGGCATGCTGAGCACAGAGTTTGGAATACCAGAAGATGATTGGATGTGGTTCTTGGAGAGATAGGAGTGCGGGTGGAAGAGAAGAGTTCATTTGCACCACCTGAGATTTAAAGCAATGAAATGCTCACAAGCGTTTACAGATTCAGTTGGTACTTCTGGATGTGGCTGAGTTCCAAAAACTGAGCCTCGCTATGTACTGATTAAACGTAAGGCTGTAGGACGTCATCAGTTTCGTCCTCAGATGGACATGGACATCCATGTTTCGTCCATGACTCCGAAGACGATGCGACTGCCTGCAAACCTGCTGAGTTTCACCTGTCCAAATAGCATGACCAGTTCCAAAATGGTGACGAACGCGGGACAAAGACATGAAAAACGGTGAAAGCCGTCAATGGTGACCGTCGGGGAAGAGGACTTCCCAAGGTCGGAACCTCTGGGTCGGGTCGTAGGACCCAACTCTCCTTTCGGGGTCATCCTTTCGGGGCTATGCCATCCAATTCTAGTAACAAGAAGCTAGTAGAAACAAGTGCCTTACTACTAGTAACAAGAAGCTTGTAATTTAAATTACTAGCAAAGAAAGCTACTAGGGCCTTTTCTTTTCGCAGCTAGGACGTTTGGCACCGAGGTGACGTCTCCCAAGCTCAAATTCTGGATGAGCCAACTGGAGTCTCCTAGCTGCAATTCCGGTGGCTTCTCCAAAGTAAACAGGGGTACAGCCCTGAGGACTTCTGCGAACAGGGCATTCTGTGGAAAACTGAGGGGTATCGGCGGTATCAAAATTTATCCGTGCTGCCACGTGATACCCTGTTCATTCTTTCGAAAAACATAATAGCGATGGCCTCCAACCTACTAGCGATACACATATACGTGGCAATCAGCAATCATGACAACCTGCCAACCCATGTCGGTCATTCGCCATGGCCGATGTCGGTCAGCGAAAGCGATAGGTTGGAATACCATGACCTCTTGAGCCTCTTCGAGTTTCTGGACCGAGTCTTTCTTTGTTCTTTCTCTTTTTTTGGGCCCGGCCTTAATTAAGTGAGTAAGCTCCTAGCCACTTAAGCTACTGCCTACGTCGCAGGATTTCTCGTGCTTCTTCCAGGAAGCGCTCGCACTAATAATTTGGTTCCTAGATGTTTTGGGACACTTACTTGAAGTGAAAAGAGGCTTGCTTTGATCAGAGAGGTTCTTGAATAAACATAAAGAGATCTCAGTAGAGATTCGGGAGGCATTGTCTTCAGTCGTTTTCCAGTGAAGAAACATCAAGAAACTAGTTTCATCTGTGAGGCTGTTGTCTCCAAAAAGGCTAAGTAACGGTCAATATAATGTTGTAGCAGTTCCCACTGTTAATTTCAATCGGGATGCACTCTTTGCCACCACCATGTTTTCAACAAGACTTGTGAATCGATCTTAAAATCATAAAGTTACCACCACAAGAATGGGAAGTATTTGTAACCACTTGAGTGTTCATCTACAGCACTTCGGTGTGAAATAGGTTTTACATTGTCTAATCAAGCCAAAGAATTGCTCTCTTTTTTTTGATGATGATCCTTGCGCAGGACAATGGCGATGGCCAAATCACCTTGACTGAGTGTCTTGGCGAAAGCGGGAGGGTCAGAGGTCAGATAAACCGATGAAGCAAGTGCAAAAAGGAGAAAACGCCAGAGGAGCTGTTGAACTGTTGACTTACATCGCTAGGTTGGAGGCCATCGCTAGTAGCTTGGTCTCAGAAATCTTCAGATCCCTCAGAGCCTCACCTCCCATCCTCGTTCTTCTCCTGCGTCCGCTCTTTCCGTGTCGTGTGTCGACTCCGAGGTTCATCGAGGGCTCCTCGCGGCTCAAGGGCGGCGCCAAGGCCTTGGACGTGTGGCGCCTCGAGACCAAGATCGAGGCACCGATTTTTCTCCGGGGGGGGGTAGGAGCAATCGGACGCTACTAGGAGCAAAGGGCATCGCTTCTAGTAACAAGTGCCTGGCTACTAGTAACAAGAAGCTAATAGAAACAAGAAATAGAAACAAGAAGCTACTAGGAACAAGTGCATCGCTTCTAGTAACATGTGCATCGCTACTAGTAACAAGTGCCTTAGTAGTAGTAACAAGAAGCTATTAGAAACAAGTGCATCGCTTCTAGTAACATGTGCATCGCTACTAGTAACAAGAATGCATAATTAAGTTTAATTAAGTTTAGTGAAGCGACGCGACGAGTGAAGTCCCCCTGGGTCGGAACCAAACGCGGGGAGGGCCATGGTCGGCCCCCCTTGCCCTCTACAGGCTAAAGGAACCAGGGCGTAAGCGACCCACACTGGGGTGTGCTTTTATAGGAGACGAAGGTTCAATTTGGGGGGAGACATGCTTGGGTGCCGGTGCATTTGGTTGAAGGTGGCAGGAGTTGGATGGAATTGCGGTGACCCGCAGTTTGGGAGAGATGGAAACCGTACCCTATGATCGGAACACTTAAGGAGCCTTGCACACCGCGTGTTTGAGGCAGATTGATAGGTAGCACTGGCTACGGTAGCACCCGAAGTCTTCGGATTGAAAGGTCCAGGTTTCCAGGATGAAGGACAAACATTTCGGACATTTCGCATTTCGGAGCAACACTTTGTAGCTCCATACGCTTTTGCCGCTGTCCTTTGCAGGTTTTATATGTTTCATGCTGGGATGGAACTCGCCCGGTTGAGCAAGCAACTACCTTCATGGACTGGGATTGTCGTCAAATGGTCCATGTTTCAGCTGTGTTTGGCTGACTCCATGTTTCTTGCTGACTTCAAGTTTCAGCTGTGGTTCTCCAATAGTAATCTGAAATTGACCAATGGAAATTAGTCTATCAACCGCGCCCAATTGACCAATGGACTGGTCGCTCGGTCTGTAGAGGTCCTCTTCGAGGAGATCTTGCAGATGCTGCACCATGGCGTCGAGGCCTCGTCCTATGTGCAGCGCGTCTTCAACTCGTCCACCTTCAAGCACATCAAGGCCCCGCCCGAGGACGACCTAGGTCAAGCAAGCTCCATCAAGGGGAATGCTCCCAGGGGAATGCTCGTTTTCTTTGAGAAAGAGTCACTATAGGCAGGAGAAAGGTGAAGGAGGCGAAGACATGGGTTTTTCTCGTGGGTTGGCCGGGATGGTGACTGTGTGGTTGATCAGTGGGTTGGTGACAATCTGTCACGATGTGTTTGATATATCTTTTTCGTTGGTCCAGGGTGAGCCGCAGCAAACGGCATGTGTTTGTTCGGTGCATCGAGGGGATAGTGAGCGTCCTTTTCTGCCAAAAGGATGGACGACCTGATCACATTGTTTTGGTCAGAAACCCTGGTGTTGATCCTGCAACTCGTTACTATGACTCAACAAATGGGGAAGATATAAGATACTCAGATACTGCTCCCCAGGATGTTCATCCCCTCAACCCATCAAATCCGTGCGAAGCAACGTCTCGACCAGGCTCACGCAGTGGAACGAGCTGAGAACGGGCCCTAACAGCTGACAGGTCTCGGGCAGACAGAAGGCGGCAAGTCCTAAGACCGGAAACGCTTTAAAAGCAACAGCCTGAACAAATGGTTCAAAAAACAACCACCGGAAACGCCTGAACATCCCCCCTCCCTGCGTATTTCACTTGATTTGGAGGTCCATCAGATAGCTCATTGCAGGCATAGGCGGCATCAGATAGGTGTCCTGTTCCCTGGTGCGTCGAACGTTCTTCGTCGGGAGCTGTGCCCGTAGCACTGTCCTTCATGTTCTCCATGTAACGCTCCCAGTCACCTACCATGTATGTATTGGTCAGCGGGAACACAAAAAAAGAGAGTTTGGCCAATTTCTGGAGATTTTCGAGAGTAGCAAAACAAAGGCACTCAAAACAGTTGATTGCCTCACCGCTTCAATTGTACTAGTTGGCATATCAAACACCCACCCAGTCACCAAAAATAGACCTTTCCCTAAGCATACACCCCGTGAAATCCTCATGGAAGTGGTAATTTTCGCGAAGACCCTTTTCCAAACAGGTGGTGGTTTTCCACTCGACTTCCATGTGAGTTTTTCTCGGAGTAGGAAAGAAAAACGAAGCCCTCGAAACAGGTCATTGGTCGTTTCTGGCTGGCAGCCAATCAGTGAAGATAGGCGTGGAGATCAGCCAAATCGGAAGAAACCAACACTCTAATGGTGTTGTGCTCGTACAGCAATTGTAACAAGGGCATCGCTACTAGGAGCAAGGACGCTACTAGGGGCTCCTGGCCTTACTACTAGGAACAAGAAGCTACTAGTAACAAGGGCATCGCTACTAGTCCCAATGGCATGGTCCCTCCGAAAGACTCCAACCATCGCAGCCTTTGTTGTTCCCTCTGGCCGCGGTGGGGCCCGTTTGGCGCAGTGGGATTGAGCGGAGCAGATTCGCAGAATACGCTTTTCTTTAATTTTGCGACGACACCGGTTACAAAAATGGCCCGTGTTTTGGCGGAGGCAGTGTTTTGCTGACTCGTTTTGTGCCTGAGAAGAGCCAAAGTGGCAGGTATTCTAGATTGTTAGTCTTTAGTGATAGTTTGAATAGGTCAGCAGCTTTTTTGGTTTGAAGCCATTACTACTGTAGTTCTTGAGCTACGTAGTCAGTCTAGTTGGAGTTTCTGCTTTGGATCGGAAGATTGGTCACACCTTCTGAGTTCCTACGCAAAACGAAAAAGATAGTTGAGGATCAAGATCCCATGCTGGCCATGAACACAAAAGAGGGATCGATTCGAATCCAACTGTGGTTCAAGGTCACGAAGCCAATTCGTATCAAAAGCTATCAACCCGTGACGATTCATTCAGAGATTTACGAGAACCATCCAAAACCTCTTAGACTTTCAGCTAAGAGCTCTTCTCAAGGTTGTGGAATTTCTCAACGCTTGCCAAAAGGCAATGACGGTTCCCGAGACTATGAGGGTCAGGACACCAGCTCCTGCGTGAATCTTTTTCTGGGTTGAAGATGGTTCAAGGTGTGTCATTGCAGAACACCAGAGATCCTCTCTTGTGGTGGATCATCATTGCAATTCATTTGCTTTGATTGCTTTTCTGACACGGTGCTTCCCTCCAGGCGACCCGAGAACGGGAGATTCACCGAAATGTGTAGCGCGGAATGCCAATTGTCAAAAGGCGTTTGGCATGATGTCTTTGGCAGAGATCCAAAAAGCAGCCGGCGCGAGTAGTGTCGTCACAGAAAAACTCTACCAAAGCTGCTACGTTTCATCCCAACGAAAATGCCTCGCGGTTGAGAGTGATGATGGTGATGAGAGGTGATGTGGTCATGGACGTATCAGTCATGCCTTGGAATGCGAAGCCTATCCTGCATCACAGCAAATGGAATCCTCTCCTTGGTGACTTTGGAATGCCGCATTCGAGCTGAACCGAGTTGCAAGCCATTTGCTTCCAGAGTGCCGCAGGCTCAAGAAAGCTGCTTCTATGTTCAAGTCTCATCGTTTGGAAAAACTGTTACACGCTTCGAGTGACCACCAAGAAGCCATGATTTGTGTCAAAGTGTTTACTCTCCGCACCAGTTGCTAAGAGAACAACTCACTGGCAGTTTGCAAGATGACGGCAGCTGTGTCCTTTAGTGCGTGTGACATCTTAGCTTCCAATTTCACTCCACCTCATTGTTGTGTCGGCCATGTGGTGTCGCTGGCTCTGTGCGCTGCTGGTAGCGGTGCTCGCATGTTTGAATCTGGGGATTGCAAATGAGATCATTTTGATATTAGTAGTAACAATTGCATCGCTTCTAGTAACATGTTTCCTGATTTGACGCCGACTTGGAAAACGAAGTGTTTCTGTCGACCGATCGATGGCCTGGTTCTGAAGGCTCGGTCTGCTGTCCTTCCTGGTGGATCTGGGGACTTCACCTCCACGGCACCATGAGGTCCTCGTGCAGACCTCCGAGCCGCTCAAAGACCGATAAGACGGAGACGACCGGACCGGAGGGAAAGGGCTTGTGGGTGGTGGGTGGAAGAAGGAAGAAGGAAGAAAAGCAACAACACCACAAGGGCGGAGGCTTTGTTGGGAGCATGGTGTTTTTGTGTGGGTGTGTGTCGATGTTCTTTTAAGTTGTGTATCGTCGGGTGTATGTAAGCGTAGAATTCTTTGATATGAATTTGTTGGCGGTTCAAAAGGCTTCGTTTATCTTCGGGCCATGGACTTGCGTGTGTTTGACCATTTCAGGAGGTATTTGCGATCCAACAGCGAAAAAAGATCGATAGCCTGCATACCACGACCATTCATTCTTAATCTCCTTGGAGGGAAAGGGGTCATTTTTTTGAGGCTGGAAGAATGTAAGTGAGGCTCTTGCCCAAAACCACTGCCCAACTTTGGAGCCCCAAAATCATTTGCCTCAGGCAATACAAGGTGATTCCTCGAGCGACCGAAGCAGAGGGTCTACCAGTTTTGGTCTTGATGACCGAAGCCATTAACGCGGCCATGGTGACACATGCACTCTTGGTAGCTGATGCGGCGAAGCCCTTCTTTGAGGTTCACTTGGCATCCTTTGGTGGGGCCTATGCAAAGTTGCTGGAGCAATCAGAGTTTCAGTCACCAGGTAGCAGGAAGACAATGCAGGAGAAGAGCTACAAGAGTTCATCAGAGCTACAAGAGCTACAAGTTTTCATGTTGGGTCACGACTGTTCCTGCCACGAGAATTGCCTTTATTTTGTGACTCCAACGAAGCCCGATCGTCCCCGGGAAGTCGTCTTCCCGTTCGTCTTCCCGTTGCAGTCTGAGGTATCATGCGCTGTCACCTCAGTGGACCGAAGAACAAAGTAAGGCCATCTACAGACCGAGAGAATCGCAAGCTTTCTTGTTACTAGTATGAATGCTCCTAGTAGCGATGCCAGGAGCCCCTAGTAGCGTCTTGTTCCAGGCCATCTACGCCGCAGATCAGTTTGAGTCCTTCTCAAATCCCTACACCGAAGTGCTACACGAGCAGATCGCTTCTTCACTTCACTTGTATTCAACCATCCGGCCCAGTGCGGTCGCGGCCTTCTTCGTCTTATCTGCCAGCATCTCTGCGCGCATTGCGAGACTTCCGCTCTTTGTGGATATGAGCCGCGCGTGAGCACAGTACTGTTGGCGGTTTTGGTTTGAGTTTACAGGAAACTTGCGGCCCAGAAACATAAAGTTTACTGGACTTGACGGGTCTTGGCGGAGCGAGCATTTCAATTCAATCCTCGAGTATTCGGGATACACTGCAGGCTACCCAATCTAGAAGGAAGTTGAACCTCCCACTGCATCCTTTCTATTTTTCACCACAGTTGTACATATACATCGACCTTACGACGCGTATTTGGCTCAAGGAAAAGGTGCCTTAACTTGGCTGTTTCCTGTGTGAAATACTTTCTATAGCAACCCAGTTCAAATTGGCCAGAGGCCAATCCGCGCGCGCGTGTTTCGGTGCCTCAGGAGTATGACGCGCGAATATGCCACGGAGCCCAAGGCCATCGCGGCTTCGATTGCAGATGATGGAGTGGTCACCAAAATGGGCCTTCGGATGACAATGTGCACCAGATGCAGACAGATCACGCTTGTTCTTCTGGTGCTTGGCACTCAAGCAAGGGAAAGATCACAGATCAGATTCTAGAGGTGTCACTCATTTAAAGGCGCATTGTCCTATTACCAGTTAGCAAGTTTTCTTTCTTCTACCTACTCTATGTTTGCAATTCCACTCCCAAAGGAGCTTGTTTGGGTTCTAAAGACATGAAACACCCCGAACCCCGTTCAGTGCTTAAGCCACCGTGATTTGGAGATCTCCTGACGAGATGCACCGCGATTCGCCCAGGGTACCGTCGTTTTTCTGGGGTGGGGGGTCTGTGGCTTTTATTGAAGAGCCCTGTGGCCAGAAATACCCAGTAGACCCGTCCGAATGAGCTTCGTGCACATTGATGTTGAGCTTCCAAGTTTGCGCTTCTGAGTGAGTGGCAGTGAGTGGTGAGTGGTTGAGGTCGCATGTGGCATCATGGTTGATGAAGCGAATGACCTTCATCGCTGGTCCATTCGAAGCTGCCGCAAGGGAGTGGAACATCACTGGGATTCATTTGATTTGGGATTTGATGGACGCTGGCCTCCTGTTGAACTTTTTGTGCTTTTGAACGCCTTTGCCGGAAATTCTGGAAAGGTGTGACCCCATGCATTTATTTGTTCTTCCAATGAAAGAAGACACGTAAAATAACATAAAACAACTAAATGTTGTGAGTCGGTCTATTGGTCGGACCACGAAAGTTTGTCGCTTTTGAATCTTGCGACCTCACTTTGTATCATCCGGTTCGAGTGGTCTTTGCGAGGAAGGCGACTATACGGTGATCTCCGATATTCCCTCCTGGGTTGGAGTGGATGAGAAGAAGCTTCCTCCTCAGGTGCGCTAACCAGAAAGGCTGACATGGGCACGTTGCTTGAGTGACATGACAAGACTCATCATTTTGGTTTCTTGCCAGGTCCCTTTTTTTTGTTAGTTTGCTTATATGGCATGGTATTCCTTCCTCCCTGAGCCCGGGTTCTTCCAATTACTCTTTTGCTCAAAAAACTGGGATGAGAAATGGCCGCACACTGCAGTTTGTGTGTTTTCCATTGTATGGTCATACCAGCTATTTCTTCTTCTCTTGCTAATCATTCTACCCTCACAGGTCTTGGGTGTAAGCAATTAAGTTTGAGCCGACAGCAAGGGACCAAGGAGGCATCATGTTCCCTCTATCCGCTTGCCAATGCTAAGAATATGTGGCGTGTGGGCAGAAGTTCCTGTCAAGAGGACAAGCACCATGGGGGCCGGAAGTTGTCGTTGGTGCAGGTGACTTATGTCGGGCCTTTGTATGGCAAGCTGAAGATGGAGATCCCACCAGAGCCTCAGTTTCGTTTCCAGTGACCAGATGGATTTGCTCCCGGATTCGTTTAAGCACTCCACCCGTGGGCTCACAAGAAATTCTGCTCTGGGAGATTCTAATGGTTTAACTGATGTCAGTGGCCACAGTCTGTCCCACTTGGTTTCCTCTACAGGTATCCCAATCGATCAGGTTTAGCAGAGGGGTTTTGGTTGATTTGGTTTTTCCTCCTTGCAATTCATCCTTTTGTTCTTGGTTCGACTAAGATTGGCTCACCTCAAACACCACCACCCATGACCTGAATGCTGACTAGGGACATCCCGCTTTGCGTAGGCCAGGTGGGTGCCAGAAATTCTCTTCCATCCGTCTCGCACCACCATGGCTGTGTTTTCTTTCCGTTGTTTCCGGGCTCCCATAGATATCTGCGAAGCTGCCACCAAGAGATATCGCGCAGATCAACTTTCCCGTTGAGAAAACACATCACTCATGACCGTAGAAACAAAGGAAAAGAATTCAACAACTAGAGAGGAATAGTCTGATATGGTACCAACAACTAGAAGTATCCTTTATATCCTTTATATCACCAACAACTAGAGAGGAATCAGATACCCAGAATGATACGATCATACTTAGAAGCGTGGCCTGTAGCTCTTTTCCGCTCAGGAAGTGATGGAGCTCAGAGAGAAGGCTACCCAAGAAGGACCCACCAGGGCCGCAAGGGACACGGGCTGGGATGCAGGGGGAAGGATGGCCGGTTGATTGAGTTCACTATAGCTTTGCAGGAGATACAGAGGAAAATGCACTCGATCGTAAATAAATAGCCGACTGAAAGGCATATGTGTTCTCGGAAATTCATGTGTGTGTGGACTGCCCCACACATGGAGAGACTCCCCTTCTCTTCCCGGCTGACGCCGTTTTATGGCGGCAGGGCAGCCCCTCATTTGGTTCGCGATGGGCTCCTCGGGGCAACCGCCCTTGGTCTTGTCGATCCTCCGAGAACTTCTTCGGCAACAACCGAGACCCGACTCGCCCAGCTGGCCTTTGGAGCTTGTGGGAGGCGGCATTTGGAGGTAGAGAAAGCCATGTTGGGAGGGAAGACCGCACCTTTGAATGGTTTGTTCATAGGGTGCTTGAACTCGGCCGCGAGCCAAGTGTTTGGAGAAGTTCAGATGTATCTCGTTCAAAAGTATGTTTCAAAGAGGTCCTCCGAGAACCACTATGGACCTCATTTTTGCCTTAGAAGATTGCTTTCATCACAAATTGACTTGCTCATGTTTTGACCACCTGATGATATTTAAGAGCCCCCCAGCTGCCTTCCTATTGTTGCTTATTCATGGGCCCATTGGCGCATATTTCGGCCAACTGACAATCAATACTGAGCCGAAAGGCTTTCTGCAACTGACCCTGTAGAAGCCGCTTCTGGCGGGACCAAAGGCCCTGGAAAGAGTTGGTTGAGGAGAAACGAAATGTCAAAAGGAACAAGCAGACACTGAAAACGAAGCAACTCACAACACGATGTTTAAGTAACCACACTTAGGCACAGAGCAAGTATGCACAATACGATGTTTTTGGCTCTTTCACGCATTTTCAACCATTGTCAACCCACTTCTAGGAGCACGGACGCTACTAGGAGCAAGGCTGCTATTAGTAACAAGAAGCTGTCAGGTAGGAGTAACACGAGACTCTACACCGGAGTTCGGAGACGACTGGGATTCCTCAGTGAGTCCATCGGACTGAGGACGTGGTTCGTCATTGCGCCGGTCCATACGCTGTTGAAAGGTGTGGGAATCGACAGCGCTGATCAGCATGCCTTGGTGGAAGCGGGGCTGGCTTCAGAAGCATGGCAATTGGTAGCTGTGGAACCCAAAGCCTTCACGAAAAGGAGATATCTAACACATAGAGCCATAGCCTAGGCACTCTCTCACTTTTCTCTGGAGGGAATGAGAGATGTGCGTGGTGGGTTTGGCTCGTTTGGTACAACGGACAGTAAATTGCTTCACCCGCATGTTTTGGCACTGAAGTATGTATTGCTTTAGTAAAAACCTCATCCAATCCACTTCAATATCAGGCGCACCATTTACAAAGTCACCTTCACTTGTTGCGGGTGCATTTCAATTCTGATAGTGGAGCCCGCCATGTAGATGAACCACATCAGAAGTCAGTTGAGTGCACTTCAAAATGGTGCTGTGCTTGTGCGATCCCAGATGTTCAACAGGGAGAAAAGGCATACAGCAGTAGCGTGGCTCAGTCAAATGATAGTTCTGCAGGGAAGCCATCCGGTTTTCGGTTTCAGTGTTCTTTTCCTGACAATACCTTGCCCTCCCAAGAGCCTCCTGAGGACAGACTCTTCATTCCATCATCCTTACTTCCATCGCACCGAGTGGAACCCCTTTGTGACGCTGCTCTGACCCATGGTGGGCAAGGAACTGTTCACACGAGTATGTGCTCTGGAGTGCCTTTTGTCGGTGTGGGCATGATGCCGGAACAGGATCTGAATATCCGTTTGGCCGCTGAAAAGGGGATGGCCCTGCAGGCCATGAAGACGGATCATCCATCTCAGGTTGCTGGATTGATGAAACAGCTGGTGGAATCGAAGGAGATGCGTGTAAAGGCATTGAAGATCAAAGAGCAATGCCAAGAATTCACGGGCGAACATGCCTTTGTCAATTTGATCCGTGAAGTAACGAAAAGCTGAAAAGAGACGTTGCAAGATGCGATGAAAGCATTTTGTCATTGACTTTGAGGTCCAAATGTAAAAGTGAGGGTGTAACACAAATCAAAAGCGGTTCTCAGCTGGGTAAGCCTTGAATGTATATATACACCTTCAAAGATCTACCATGTTGGTGTTTTTCTACATTTGTTACAGGGAGTAAAGTTTTTTCCATATATTTTCCGAATGTATTTGTTTATCGCTTGGGATGATTGTTTGGGGCTCTTGCCTGAAGTCAAGAACCAAGATCGATTCAAATTGTAAAAACGAAATGCACGCGAACAGTGTTGGAAAGGAGAAGTTGATTTAATTCCAATGAAATCAGAAGGCAATTGTTACCTTTGTTTTTCGGATGATGCTTTATTTGCCTTTATTGATGCTTTGTTCCTTTGCTAAAGTATATAGATGTGATTGTTTGATAATTTCTATGATTCCTTTGAAGCGACAGGTTAGGCGATAGCAACGCCAATCTTCATGTCTTGAATGCTGTCTTCCTTTGACCCGGGCCCTGTCACAGTTGGGTTTCACGGAGAAGCTAAAGCGCAGACCTTAAAATCAAATGGACTACGTGCGAGGAGCAAGGACGCTACTAGGGGCTCCTGGCATCGCTACTAGGAACAAGAAGCTACTAGGGGCGAGAGCCTGCATCTGGGAACCGCACATGTAGCTGTGGTGTTCACGTAAGCCTCCCGGTGGGTCCGCCACATTTGGATTTGAAGTTAGTGACTAGTAGCTTCTTGTTACTAGTAGTATGGCCAGGAGCCCCTAGTAGCGTCCTTGCTCCGAGTAGTAAGGCCAGGAGCCCCTATGGTGTTTGCTTGCACTGCAGCAATTTTGAGCCACGCTGAAGTCCGTTACCCGACTGCCCTTTTTGCTGCTCAATCATGAAGGTCGCAAGACACGGGAAAGAACTTGGACGTTTTGGACGAAAGACAAGTCGCCAAGTGGTGAGTAGCCTTGAAAGGTTTGTCCACTGCCTCATGGGGATAAAAAAGCAAGGATGCTACTAGGGGCTCCTGGCATCGCTACTAGGAGCATTCTTGCTATTAGTAACAAGAAGCTGTCAGGTAGGAGTAACACGAGACTCTACACCGCGAAAATTGATCGCGATGAAGCGAAAGGGTTCCTCCAAACTCTTGTCACGTCTTGACGCCAGCACATGCAGATAGTTGTTTGACGAAGTGGCAATCTCTATCCATAGCCCCTAGTAGCGTCCTTGCTCCTAGTAGTATGGCCAGGAGCCCCTCGTAGCGTCCTTATCTGATAAGTTAGGTGTTTCAGTCCTTCTTTCAGGACCAATGTGTCTTTCTATCTTCTGAAGGTGGATGCGCGACAAGGTGTCACATGCCGCCGTTGAATTCTTGCACAAAGGTTTACTTTGTCTTCAGAAAAGACACAAACCTTTGGTGTGTCGGTCTTTGATCGGCCTTCTTAGTAGCGATACCAGGAGCCCTATAGCTTCTTGTTCCTAGTAGTAAGGCCAGGAGCCCCTAGTAGCGTTCTTGTTACTACTAGTAAGGCACTTGTTACTAGTAGCGATGCCCTTTGTTACTAGTAGCTTCTTGTTCCTAGTAGTAAGGCCAGGAGCCAACTTCATGTTTCGAACATCTTTTCTTTCTGGCGAGGCTGATGAGGAGGCCCGCGCTAAGATGGCGGCGGGCATGCAGATGCAGCAGGACGGCAGGTGGCAGGTGGAGTATAGCATCAGGTGTCAAAGCTACTATGTGAATCTTCTCCATGGAATATGCAGAGGATGCAGTTCATTTTGTTCACTTAGAGCCGGAAGCTTTGAGTCTGACTCACTGTCCAGCCATAGGTGAGTTGTAGGCTTGATTGGACGGAAAATCCGCCACTGGCGTGAAAGAACGACACCCCCCGTCCCCTACGTCTGAGGCGGGTGACCAGGTGTAAGGTGGGCTGAAAGTTCTTTGACTGGGCAACTGGATTGGAAGCCAAGCTTGTAAAGCTGAAAAAGATTGTAAAACTTGTAGAAAAAGAGCAAGTACCGTTTGTAAAGCTTGCAAATAGCAGTTGGACATTACGTTTTACATGCAAAGCGAACGTGTCACCATTTGATGCTTCACTTTTGTTGGACACGCACAGAGAGTTGGCCGCCGTGGAGGCCCGGCCTTGGCTTCTTAAGGGTTCTTCTTTGGTGATGCCTGGTGACTTTCTTCAGTAGGTCATGACGCCTGAGGGTGTAAACTGACCAACGCTTTCTTATTCTTGGACACCAAATCTTCCTTGGTGTGCCGGGATCAGATAGGCAGATGCTTGGAGATTGATCGGTCTAAGCCCTCAAACACTGCCAGACACTGTGACAACAGGTTCTTACGGGGCTGCTTTGGGGAGATTCTTCTTCAACCGTCTTCATGTTCAGTACTGCTATTGGAACCAGTCTTTCACTGAGGCATGAAAGGTCAGCCCTCACTATCAGAACTACCTCACTACCTCCACCTGCTGGAAGGTAACCAAGCAGACCTACCGTAGTGTCTCACTGCAACTGATCCAACTTTGCTTTGGGATGATATGGAAGATACCATGTGTGAGGAATGACCGCCATTCCTTCTTGAAAGTGATTTTATAGCAGGCTGGATCCCAACTCAGTTATTAGTGAGGCCCTGAATGTGACTGGGTGTTTGACATAATACATGGAAAAGACCTTCAATTAGTCTTAATCTTGTAGTTCTTTGTTCCGTGATTTAGACTGGTTCATCCCACTGGTCACCGACACAGACAGCTGAAGCAGTGAGGAGTCAGACCTTCAGAAGATGCAAGAGCAGAAGGCACAACAACAAGAAATGGAGGCGTGACTGACTGGATAACAGCAGGGAGTTGGGCCTGTTTTTTGGAGACCTTAGTTCTGAGTTCCGGCGATTCCTGTACCGAGTGCGGTGTCGCCCGAAACGGACCTCCAAGACCCACGCTTTTGACCGCATCCCTCAACTTGTCGCTGGAGTTCTCACCCCAAGGCCAGGAGCCCCGTTCGTAGCATCCTTGCTCCTAGTAGTAGACGCAGCATCAATGTGGTTTTCCAGTGCCACGTTTGTTTTCGTTCGGCAACACGCCCAAAGAGCGGGTCGGCCAGGGCGGCCAGGGCGGCCAGCGCATGAAGAAACAATTGTCCTACAGTTTACTTCGTTTGTTCCGGGAGGGAGGCAAGCGTGAACTCAGACCGAAGTGAAACCGGAAAGACGCCCCGTCCCTTCCCTTCATCGCTTCACCAGCTTTCAACCGTTGTGAGCCACCATGCACATCAATAAGCTGCCAATTACTGCTGCATTTGTGCTTTTTTGGTATCATTGTTTGGTCAGGAGCGGAAACGGATCATGATCAGATCAATCTTGGAGCCGGAGGCAAGGCTGTCGTGGCTCGATCTTTTTGGGTTGGAATGTCGTGAGAAGGTTTCGGGGCTCCTGGCATCGCTACTAGGAGCAAGAAGCTATTATAATTAAATCAACTAACAGCTTTTTGTTATTACTAGTAAGGCACCTGTTACTACTAGCGTGGCACTTGTTACTACTAGCCTCATGTCTTCATTAAAGGCTGACGTCTTCGATTCAATACCTGGCGTTTGTGAAAACCGCACACTGACCCGAACCGCTGCGACACATCGGAGTTTAGAGCAATGCTACTACCCCAGCTACTTTCACAGTGAAGCAGTGTGGATGGCTCCCAACCCCTTGCAGCAAATTGACCAGGATTTATGTTTAGTCACTCAGAACGCTACTAGGCTGGAGGCCATCTCTAGACTCTAGTAGGTTGGAGGCCATCGCTACAAAAAAAAAGTAAGAAAGGTTGGGACTCGTATTGTTTCTACGTTCGCTTCTTGTTACTACTAGTAAGGCACCTGTTCCTAGTAGCGTGGCACTTGTTCCTAATAGCTTCTTGTTACTACTAGTAAGGCACTTGTTACTAGTAGCGAGGCACTTGTTCCTAGTAGCGAACATTGTTTCTACTCAGCAAGTGGATTGCGTCCGAAACCGGAAGGCCCTCGAGCGATTGCACCGCATCGGTTTGGTGAAGCCTGAGAAAAAGGAGCAGGCACTGTGGGCGGCGCCATTGCAGGGTGTTCTGTCCGTTTGCCAGGGTCGTCGCGCGTATAGAGCTTTGTAGCATGGCATCCAGAGGTCGGTGGGGTGGATGAAAAGGGTCTGAACCTGACAAAACCTGGGCAGAAGGTCCGTTTCCGCGATTGTTGGTTGCTCCTCAACATTGCAATTTACATTTGCACATCAATAGAACTTTCATCGGTTCTGTGGTCAAACTGCTGCAACAAGTATCATTCACGATTCAATTAGGACTCAAGGCAGCTCTCTTTGCATTCAGAGAAGCGCGTTCACAGTTGCCGATGCCGAAATTTCTGGGAAACCACCTGTGTAACAGTCAAAGTCAACGATACAGTGAAGGTCTATTGTTTGTTTGCTGGTGAGGGTTATGATATGACAGGAGGCTGTATCCTTGTCACCGAAATGGAAAGTTGGTGAACATCACTCAGACCAACGAAGTTCACCAGCGCCGCTGTGTGACTTGCGCTCCCAAGCCGAAACCTCTCGTGTAGGTGGAACTGATGCTGATTCAGCAAGCGCAGAGTGGTCGCATCAGCGTGGCTAGGCTGAAGGGACGAAGTGATGTCAGAAAGGCTGGAAAGGGCTAGTAGTAACAACAAAATAGTAACAGAAAAGCTTACTAGCTTCTTGTTACTACTAAGGCACTTGTTCCTAGAAGCGAGGCACTTGTTACTACTAGCTTATGTGCGTGATCAATTTGGATGAGAATGATGAGATATCCATTCATCCTTGCACATTGAAAACCGATGCTGCTCCTTGTCCCACCCCAAGAAGCGTTTCTGAGCGAAAGCCGAAGCCACGCCTAATGAAGCCCAACAACAACTATGCAAAGTGCTAGAGATCTCCTTCATTCCTTTTTCCACCCCACGTTGCACTGCCATTGGGTTTCCGAGCGGATAAAGCAATTCCAATATG